GGTGGTGAAAATCATGCTGGAACAGACGGAGGTTATAAAAAGTGTAGTGGAAGATAATAAGGTGTTGACCAACGAGGTCGTTGGTGTCATCAGGGAGCAGAACGACTCCACTAAAGAGTTTATGGCAATAATGAGGAGTCTCGTTGAAAAACTCTAAAAATGAAAGTGCTATAATTTAAAAAGTCAGTAATTAACAATTATTTAAAAATGAAGTGCAAGACAAAATAATAGCACCTCAACGTTTTGAACTGTTTTGATTATTTTTTCTTTTGTTTGTTTGATGTTCACAAATTTTTATAAACAAAATCCATATTTCAACCTTTGTAGAAAAATTATAAAAACCACAGCTTTTTAACCAAAATTTTCAACGTCCTTAGTTAAAGTTTCCAGAAAACTTTGGTATACAGTTTTACAGCTTATTAAAATTTAGTGGAGTAAAGTGCAGCTTTAAAGCCTGTTTATTTTTTGAGCAATTTTTTTTGTTGACTGTGTTGTGCATTTTCTTCCGTATAAAAATATGCGGACATTCGTTGTATGGAATAAAATGCACAACACCGTCAACTAAAAAAAATTGTTGGAAATCAACAGGATCTTTTTAGCAACTTCAAGGCTGCACTTTATTCCACTAAATTTTAATAAGCTATAAAATTGTATACCAAAGTTTTCTGGAAACTTTAACTAAGGACCTTGAAATTTTGGTGAAAATCTGTGGTTTTAATCAATTTTCTAAAAAGTTTGAGATATGGATTTTGTTAAATAACTAGCTATTTTTTATACAAATTTGTAAACATCAAACTAAAAAAAGAAAAAATAGTCAAAACTGTTGAAAATGTTAAGGTATAGTATATTAAAATTAATGTTTAAAAAAAGTAAACGAAAAGAAAATGAAATGAGTTTAACAAAAATCTAATGAATGAATATAATTTTAATTTGTTATTCGGGTTTTCTTTCTGAATGTTACCCTCCTCTGTCCATTTTCTTTTAACTTACAACTTTTTTAAAAATATGTAAAATTCATTAAAAAATAAGGGTAAATTTCAAGGTTATATCGAGGTCAACATGGTTTTTTTTACAGGTAACTGCCCCTTTTTATCCAGAATTCAGAAAGAACGGAAAATTCTACGTTTAGATAACATATCGTAGAATTTTCCGTTCTTTCTGAATTCGGGATAAAAAATTGGCGGTTACCTATTAAAAAAAGCCATTTTGACCCCGAGATGGCCTTGAAAAACTTCTTTTTTTAATGAATTTTACATATTTTAAAAAAAATTTTAAGTTAAAAGAAAAATGGGTAGAAGGGGTAACGTTCAGAAAGAATACCCCTATTATAGTTTTTAGTTCCGTTCCATATAAATACTATTATAGCTATTGTTAGTCTAGTTTAAAAAAAAGGGCATGTTAATGTTAAAAAAGGTAATGAAAAGAAAATTAAATGAATTTAATAACAACCTATTGAACGAATGTAATTTTTTCAATTGTGTGGGTATTTTCCAAAAATGTAGGATAAGGCAGATTAACTACATATCGCACACCGTCTTCAAAAGAGTCACAACTCAAAATTTGGCATTTTTGAAATTATGCGCTAAAAATGTACCCAGAGCGTTTATTTACCTTTCAGCAAAACATGGAGCAAATTTTCGCTATAATTTGTTATAAAACCTAAGGTAAAGCTGCCCTTGCCCATACGATTATCATGTGCTAAGTAGTAGTTTTTCGCATTTTCTGACAAAGGTATTATTTTGAGTTGTGACTCTTTTGAAGACGGTGTGCGATATGTAGTATATCTGTGCAGGATATTTGCGATATTTGTACTTACGGAAACTCCAAGCTATTGCATTTCTGATAGCTGCTGCGCTTACGTTATTTTCACCAAGCCTTGTAGTATGACTCGGCTGACTACGTGCAGTTATGTTTTCCCTTGAATCTTGTATCCAAGACATAGAAACTTCATCGTTTTCCATCTTCAGAAAGTTGTGCAAGATACAGCACGTTCTAATTATGATGTTCACGTTTTTTGGTGCGACTTGCAAGCCTCTGCCTATTTTCCTAAATCGAGCTTTTAGTTGCCCGAATGCATTTTCAATTACACGACGACACCTAGACAGCCGATAGTTAAAAGTTTTTTGAATAGCTGGCTGATTAGGTGAATATGGGAAGGGTTTCATCATGTACCGCGAAAGACGGAAAGCCGAATCGCCAATTAGCAACACGGGTACATTGACACCGTTTATGGATGTGCTGTTTAGTGTGAAAATTTCAGCGACTTCATGTAATCTTTTCAAAGTGCTACTTTCGAAAATATACGAGTCGTTATTTTTTCCAGTAGAACCGATGTTTATGTAGGTAAATTTCGATCTGTGAAAGGTTGATGCATTCGATTAAATCGTTTTTTTATAATACTAAAGTTATGTATATTTAAATATACCGGTGGTCGCAACTCGCCAACAACACCACGGAATACCAGCCCTTATAGTTATAGTAGTCGACTGCTTCCTCCTTTGATGGTTGGACTTCTATGTGGCAGCCGTCTAGGGCTCCGAAACATTGTGGAAAGCCAAGACGTGCGAAACCAGCAACAACTTTTCTAATTTCTTGTAGATTTTGAGGATAGGAATTAATGCAGTCAGAAAAATTTTCGCATACTGCTTGGCAAAAATCCAAAACAATTTCACCAACAGTACTGCGTCCTACTCCGAATAGGCTTGCAACTGTTCTGTATTCCGCTGCAGATCCCAATGCGAACAATGAAATAGCCACTCTTTTATGTAGCGGAATATATGGCCTCATGTTTATGTCCACCTTTTCGATACCTCGAACTTTTTCACAAATTATGCGAAAAGCATTTCTTTTCACACGAAAATTTTCTTTGAAACGGTTTTCGTCCATTAAAGGCACGTCACGCTCCCAAAAGGTGCCATTGCGATCCTTCATGGAATATCCGATACATATGTATATATATATACATATATCATTTAGATCGCCGATGGTAAAAAAGATATACTTACAAATTTCCACAGCTGCCTTTTTCTAATTCCAGGAAGTGTAACAAGCCAAGTTTGATGCATCCTGCTGATATTTATGCTCGTTAATTCATTGATAATTTTTGTATTATTTAGTAATTTTAGGAGAAGAATTTGAAGCTTTTTTTTTAAATAAATAATGGTGTTTTGCTAATAAAATAGCAGCCAGTCGTATTGTTTCCCTTCTTTCCATTTTCAGCTCAAAGTTGTTTGTCAAATCAGCTGTTCAAATGCTGAAACGTGTCGTCTGTTAGGGTAAAATTATTATGCGCATATTTGTGCCAGATTATCTGCATAAGTGTTGTCGTCTGTCACAGCTTTTAGTATATGTTAAACAAATACCAATTCAAACTATATTGGTCTGGGAGCGCCATGGAAGGTTAAAACGAAATTGCCAACGTCTGTATAAACTCCTCTATCTTTTCATCAGAATCGGTGGAGGTCAAGTAACTCGAAGGTGTGAAACAAAATATAATATTTCCTTTTCTAGCGGCGGTTTTGAAAAAATCCCGTGGTCAGGATTGGGCCTAAAGCCCAATATTCTTGCATCACACGATTGGGCTACCGATACACCAAATTTTATATTGCTATTATGTGTTCTAAAGATGAAGCAAATTGGGACCCGCGGGATCCACGGTACTGATTTTAAAATGGCCGAGATGGGCGGTATCGGGAAGATCTGTAAAAATTTTGCGGACGGAATGGGACCAAAATCCTTTCCCGGTACTCCCGATAAAACCGTAACCCACGCAAATTCAGAAAATCTTTCTTAAAAAATTTTTGTGAAATATGCACTTTTTATGTTTTATTGAAACAAAAACGAACAGTTAAGCAAAACAAATAATCTTTCATACATTTTTTTTACTTAAAATTAATTTGAAAGACATGTGAATTTTTTAGAGATAGTTTTCGGGCCCGCGAGCCCGCGGTACAATTCTGAAAATCGTCGGACTGGGCGGGTTCGGAACTTAGAAATTGAATTTCGGGATGAGCGGGATCGGGACTTAATATTTAGTCCCATGTCCATCCCTACTCTCAAGCCCCGCGCTACCTTACTGCAGCCAAACACACTGATCCTTTTAAAAATAATTTCACAAAATAACAATCATTCAATGCGATTTAGAAATCTGGTAGAAAATGGTTTCCAAATTGATGATTATTGCCAGTTTATATGTATATAGATGTAGGTGTATCAAATTCCATTACCTTATCATAAGAAGTTCCAGATATAAGCGCTATGGAAATTGCATTTTGTATGCGCTGTGCCTCATCCCCCTTTCGAATACACATCACTTTTCGCCATAAGTTCGCTAATGATAACATATGCAGCCGTGTAAAATTTCAGAACGATAGTATAAGCGGTTACACAGATAAGCGAAATGAGAAGTTCACTTTGTATGTTAGGTGCCTCGCCCCTTTTTCAATACCTACCACTTTTCGCCGTAAGTACGGTATTGATAGCATAAATAGCTGCGTCCAATTTGAGGGCGTTAGCATAAAAGGTTTCAGAGAAAAGCGATATCAGAGTTTCAGTTTGTATGGGAGGTGCCACGCCCCCTTTTCCAAAATCTCCCACTTTTCGCCGAACGGTATTGACAACATATGTTGCCGTGTCTAATTTCAGGACGTTAACATAAGTGGTTCAAGAAATAAGCGATATGAGAATTTCAGTTTGTAAGGGAAGTGCCACGCCCACTTTCCCAATACCTACCATTTTTCACTGTAAGCAGGGTACTTACAATCTATGCATCTGTGATAAGTTTCAGTTCCCCAGCATAATTGGTATTAGAGATACAGTGGTTTTCACATTTTAGTCTATATGTCAGACGCCACGCCCCCTATGTACCGGGATTAACATTTCTGAAAGAGGAAATTATATCCTTTAAATCGGTGTATGTTTCATTGATATAGATGTTTGATATGCCCAAGATATATCGCCAAGGCATATCGCCGGGTGGTTACGTACCAGTTGCGATTATATGATGGAGCTTAAATTATTTAAAAATAAAATTATAGTTTAGAAAACTAAAACCTCGCTATTATAATTTCTATTCGTACTGTCATCAGGTATGTTACTTGAGAATAGAAATTGCTGCATCTTTTAGGCGCATCAATATTGCATAGTTACATCCCGAGCTAATAAAAGGGAGGTAATAAAAAGCCTGACGTTTTTTTGTCGTGTGTTGTTAGTTATCTCGAAAATAACTTTTAGTTTAATAACAACAAACTTGAATATTCGAATGGCCTTTCCCTATAACTAACAATTATTTTTACACAATTTACTGACATTGTAAGAGCTTTTTATACAAGACATAGAGTTAGATAGTCTTTTTGGCGAATTCTTAGTCTTTCAAAGTTTTTGCGTAGTTGAAAAAATTAATTTAAGCCATAAGGAGTAATATATGAAGTACTTTTATACAGTTAGAAAAAATATGTAATTTTGTTTTTCTTTTTTCAATACCACACTCAAACGAAGCAGTTCAGAGGATATTAAGTATAAAGTTTGCTTCCTGGCACAAAGGGAGAAACCGGCTTGTAATTAAGATTTTTTAAAGTGAACTTCAAAATGAAAGTATTTCAAAATGAAATGTATAGAATTCTTTGACTATTTAAACACTGAAGATGGAAATTATCTCATTATTGCTATTCAAAAATGTCATAAACATAAAATAATTTATTTGCTTCTGTGTACAATGATGCGTACACTCATGCTCTGAATAAAAATGTACTGAAAAGTACTGATTTTTTTAGCATTTATCTTTTTAGCAAAAATCTGGCAACCCTAACACTGTTATACTGCGGTATTTAAACTGTTTGTTTAGGCAGAGTTGCAGGTCATCAATTTTGCTATAATCATAAACATGTCTGGCAAAAAAGTTGAAAGTGGAAATTTCTGCATTCACCGTGTACACAGACCAAAAATAGTAAGCCAGCATTACCTTTGTTGAATAGATTCTATAATTTTGAGTTCCCTGAGGCTGAATGCTGGTTGGATGGCTCCAAAACTGACTCTGGGTCAAGATCTGGGTCACTTTTCTCTTGGCGAATATGCTTCGGTCCTCCAGGCTGAGGTATATGCAACCCTCAAAGCCATGGACTACGTGGTGGAAAACAGGGATGGACGTTTTTGAATGAATTATTATTCAAATAAAAAATAAAATTTTATTCATAATTTTTTTAATTTTGAATGACGAATAAATTTTTATTCTTCATTCAAGCACTTTCGAATGATGAATAAATTTTTATTCATCATTCAAGTAAATTCAAGTAAAGAATAAATTTTTATTCTTCATTCAAGCACTTTAGAATGATGAATAAATTTGTATTCATCATTCAAGTAATTTCAAATAACGAATAAATTTTTATTCTTCATTCAAGCACTTTCGAATGATGAATAAA